TCCCGATCCTTTGCGCCCTGGACTGGGTCGTCGCGAGAAGAGCAGGAGGGAATGTACGTAGCTTACGGATCGGTCGAACAGCCTGACACATGGCGTGCTTTTGCTCTCGCATAATGGGCGCTGTGAGGGATGCCGAGACGGATTTGAAGGATGTCAAGGTCGGCGGTGGTTACTCGAGGGACAAAGAGAGAGTACACGTCCGGTGTGTCCTGGCCAACCACGTGTGAAAATTCAGGGGCGCCTTGGTAAATATCCCTGCTGAGTTTTACCAACGCCCTGCCAGGGTATGTGGATTGCACCTGCTGTCACCATAACGAGGCGCAGGGGCAGACAATGCGGACGGAGTGGTTAACCGAGGAAGAAGTTGATTACGGCGCCGTCATGAGTAAGTGACACCGCTACGGATGGCTGATGCTCGCACTGGAAGAAGAAACGAGAGACAGAGAGAGAGAAAAGAGGGTAATTTATAGATCAGGATTCATTCCGAGAAGTTATCACGCTACGCTTCCAGGCTTTCGTGACCAGCTACCTGTATCCTTGCCGCAATCTTACGAAAGATTGATACGATGGACGGGCCGGGAAGAGAAGAGGCGTAGAGCTTGCTTTGGGTTGACATGTTATGATGACGCAACAATGGAGGGAGGGCAAAGCAGTATATCTGGCCGTCAAGACAGAAAGGGAAGCTGGAGGTAGGGTGATTTGAATAGAGCTTGGACACATGAGAGATGCAGGGTTTCTTTTCAAGGTATTTACGCCTAAACGAAAAGCGGTCTACGCATCCTCATGCCCGCCCCCCCCTTCCCCCGGCACTCCTCGTCTCCGGCATGGTACCAATCCCTTAGGCTTCCTTTTTTCAAAATTTCATCGATCCCTCCTAGCGCCATGGCAAGCTCTCCCCCCATCGCTGCCCTGTACCGCTGCAGATAAAGTCTCAACGCTCGAGCGGAATTTTCGAACCCACGTCGTTCCATCGCTTGGAGGACGTCGTCGTCATTCATCAAGTTACGGCTGGTAGATGCCATGCTGCCTGCAGCTAAAGGGGCCGTTTATGAGTCAGCGAACAAGCTTTTCGAAAAGAGGACAAAATTCAACGATTGGTATACGGTACGGGTAGACGGAATCTAGAAGACCTTCGGTGGTCACGAGTTGAATATAGGTACTCCACCGCACAAGCCTCGACCCTATCGCTCGCTTCTCTCGAGATTTTCGCCTCCTGTGGCAGCGCCTCTTTCTTTCATGATGTTGCAAACTGCCAGGGGTCAAGGTATATTCCGACAGCGAAAGAGCACGGAGGAGACGGACCGAGTGTGAGTGGAAGTCGACCATCTTTTGATTCCCTGGACAGTATTGGTATCTGGGAGTTTTGAAGATCGCCAGACGATGGAACAGGTGTGTTCTGAGCCGGAGCTTTCACGTCCGGCTGGGGTAGCAGCTGTCGCTGAGACTCCCGCTTACCTTTGTGTTGCAGCAGCGTCTGAGGATCTGTCGCTGTGGTGGAGGTTAGCAAGCCCCGTTCTAGGCCTGAGATGTTTGTTTTTTGGACATACTACTCGATTTGGTTCCGGGAGGCATGTGAACGGCGTCCTGGGATCTTTCAATCCAAGCAGGGTTATTTCCTAACGAAGGCATCAGCATGCCCAGTGGCTCCTTACGGAGTCGTTGTATTCTGGTTTATCGGCGGGTTTGTGGGGAGAAGACATGCTGATGCAGTAGCAGTGCAGATATATAACAGAGGGATACAGACAAACTATACGTTAGAGGAATAAAAGACAGCATCAAGCGGCGAAACGTAAAAGTCATTATAGATACACCAAAAAGTCGAAACCGTCGACCGAAACCAGGGTCCACAAGCAGCCTTTCAAGTCTTGAAATGTAAGAGATGTGACGACGCAAACCGCGAACAGCGCAGCGATCGATCGAGCAAAGCAAATATAAGATAGCACGGCGTTGACGCGTTTGACATACGAGTGAGAAATGGCGCTTACCCCTTTTTGTCCTTTTGCTCCGTTACTGCATGAGAGACCATCGCGGTCGCATGAGATGCCCTTCGGGATATACATATCCTGTACAGCGAATATTGCACGAAGCCTGACCTGCATTCATTTCCGCATCAGATGAGGAAGCTCTCAATAGGCTTTCTGGCAACAGGGCACGAGGTTATCGCATGCTCCGCTGCGACATGAGAGGTCATGGCGACTCGTAAGTAGCCTTTTGATATGTAAGATTACATTCGGTCGTTGTGGCAACGGACAGCGATCACGACTTCCCACTTCCCCCACGCATGTTCTCATCACGATACCTCACCAGCAGAGACAAGATCATCTCAAACTCCGCTGCTGCAAAAACGGCAATCCCAAACACGCACACACAACGGCGTCTGGGCTTTCTTTACCGTCCGTTTCGGTTTTATGAAAGATTTCGATCGAAAAGGGATTTGAAACAATTTCCAGGCTTGGAAGAGGTTTGCCGAGGCCGTCGATATCGGCACCCCAATAGAAATAATAGAATATAGCGTTGAATGACCGACCGTGCATTGGATTACCAGCACTATAACGAAGTATACCTGTCGTATTAGCGGCCATGTTCCCTGGTCGAAACGCGTTGCAACCCTTTGCCGGGATGCTCACCCTGAAGAACAGATTTCTCCCACTCCGGCCCCGTCGGTATCTCTCTGACAGCGGAACTGGTCTTCGCTCGGTCAGCCACAAATTTCAATAAAATGTCGCCGCATCCTAGGATGTCGAACCTTGAATTCGGAAAAGTGCATGGGTATGCACAGTTATACGTTGTCAATATCCGCCATTGGGCAGTCACAACGTCCTACCTAGCAAGCCCTGAACGGGCACATATCGTACCCCAGTGCTAAGAAAACTCCCACGCCTGTGCGGCATAGACCTATCATACTCGCTCCCGACGAATGTCTCCGGAAACCGATGCCCGGAAGCAGATGTCCGGGTTGTAAATCCGCGAATGCAGCACTATGAGATCCATTCATCCAAAATCCCACTGTAGCGAGTAGACCCCGATCGCAGCGGCACAAGGCTGAATATGACGATGGCGATGAGCCAGGTATTGGACGGAAACGGACTGCTCGTTGAACACGAGAAGAGTAGTGGTGATGTGGGGTGACGCCAACCTACAACACCAGATATCATCATGCCGCCATTTGATACTGGCGTTTAGATGCTCACATTTTCTTGTTCAAACATGGACATCGCTCACGACGGCTACCACCCGGGAATTAACAGCAAGACAAAGACCGAGACCAGCATTATGAAGCTATCCTGACATGGCTCCGTCGTGGAGAACTGCCCGAGTCTTCCCGTTGTAGAGCCCTGGCAAGTTCAAGAGAAAAGATCGTCTCGTGGTTTCAAAGTACCGCCGCGTTCCGAGAATTTTTGGATGAGCCGGAACAGAGGTTGATAAAGTACGCGATGGGAGACCTGGTGCTGGGAAACCAACTTCGGTAATCGCGACACTTGGCTATCTGCAGAGCAAGGCGAAGCAGGAATATGCCTCTGTTGCATCTGTTTTCTTCCAGGAGAAGAGCAAAGACCGGCAAGAGCTTCAAGATGTCCTGCGACTATTCCTCCTCCAGTCGTTGAAATCATTCCAAACTCTGCCGGACCAAACGCTGCCAGAAGAGCTAGAGCAGCTTTTCAAGGAATGTAGGTCTGAGTATTCGCCAAGCGTCGACCAGATGGTATCAGTGCTCCAAGTTATGGTCGAAAGGTTTTTTTAACGCCTATTTTGTGCTGGATGTCCTGGATGATTTCTCGAATAGCCGTGACGAGCAAGAGAATCTAGCATTAAATCTTCGAAAGATCCAACGAGAAACCGGCGCATGCATTCTTGTAACTTCCCGACACGACCATCCCCCAAGGAACATCTCCAAACGGGTCGAAAAGACAACCTTCTTCGAAACCCGGGCCCGAGACGATGATCTCGGACCTGTATCGACGACCAGATATCCAATTCGACTGAAGATCTCGTTGAAGGGATCCAAAGTGAAGGCCGCGACCTTCAAGAGAGGATTCTGAAAACTTTGATCATATCACCATCTGGATTGTGAGTATCAGGTGCACACTCCGCCAATGGTGATGAACTGATCCAACGATTTGATTTCTCGTCGCGAAATGGGGTATCAAAATGCTGCTCGGGCAGCCTTCAACCTTAGAGGTCAAACGTGCCCGGCAACGACTCGAAGTGGACTCATCCGGTCCCATCAACAAGGCGTCATCGGATCTTATTGATCGGATGTATAACTTGTAATTTCCAGCAAATCCAAGATCTGCGGGACATTGCATTGACCACGCTAGCACGGGTTGCAATCTGCGAAAGGGTTTTGTCCGTCTCAGAGCTGCGAGAAAAGTCTTGCGGTGGAACACCCCGAAGCACGAAGCGAGGACTTGAATGAAAACGACATGATACCAATGAAGAAGCTCAAGACACTTTGCGTTGGCCCGATCGAGGTTGATGAAAGCTCCCAGACTGGACAGCGGGTCCACTCTACGTTACGAGGATACATTCCACGACGGCACCAGGACTCGGTATCCGAAACACATTCGCGAATGGCTATGGTTGGCTTGGAATACCCGTCCATCGACCGCTTCGATGCCGTTAACGAACACACCAATGCCCGAAACCCCCATCTCTAACCAAGCGAGAACGTCGAGAACAACGAAGACCACATTTTTCAACTACGCAGCGAGTCACTGGGCACATCGTTTCAACCGGGTACCGGTCTCTCGTGACATGATGCAGCAAGACGGGGGCGAACTTGAACACTTAGCTCTAAGTTGCCTCGAAGATGAGGTGCACGTGAAAAATGCGGTCTATGTCCGTTGATGTGCCTTTTTTTTACCACCAGATTGCCGGGAGAAAACAGACCGGTCTTCACTTGGCTGCCCCTCTTTGGATCCCAAACTTTGGTGCCAAAGCTCTTGGCTCGTGGAGACTCGATCGACGCACGGAATGGAAGAGGCCGAGCGCCTTTACATATGGCTGCTCTGGCAGAGCAAAAGGATGTCTTCAGGATCCTTTTAGCATGTCCTGATATCGACGCAGACCTCAAGGACGAAGATGGATTCACCCCTTTGCGCGTTGCTACATGCTTGGACACAGTATAGCCTGTTGGTTCAGTTCCTGTTTGCTTTCTCCGCGGTACGACGGATTCCCATCAATACCTAGCCTTTTGTCTCTTAAATCGTCTTGCTGAGCAACAACAGACTGCTAGGACTGTGCAAGATCGAATCGATTCCTCGATTGTTGCTGGGACGCCACAAGAAAATTCCGTGGGTGAAAACTCAACAGAGAATGCTGGAAATGCCGCGGCAAAGAAATCCCTTCCTAGCAATACCTTGGATCATGCGGTAATACGGAAAGGCCAAGTGACAGTCCATTCTTCGCCGAAGACAATAAAAATCGAAGCAAGCCTTTCGTCCTTGAGCCTGGCTACTGGCCGCACACCTCTACATGACGCTGCAAAGTCTGGCTATGATGATGTCACCAAAGCACTGCTAGCAAGGAAGGACATTAATACTACTGTGTCGGACGGTGCTGGCATGACACCATTGCACAAGGCAGCCAAATACGGCAATCTTTCCGTCGTCAAATTGCTCCTGGAACGACCCGAGATCTCTGGCCATGAACGTTCAAATGAGAAGTCCGGTCGCTTGCCCATCCATATGGCCGCAAAGTACGACCGCTTGAAAGTGGTTGCGTATTACCTCGCACAAGACGAGGACCTCGTCAACGCAGTCGACAACGATGGGAAATCGGTCTTGCACCACGTACTCTTCGAGGATACGCCACAGACAATCGAAGCCCTGTTGAAGCTTAAAAACGTCAAGCCTGATCTGAAAGATAAATCAAGGAAGGACGCCGCTTTGGGACGCGATTGAGAATATGACCTCAGCTCTGCAGTCTCAATCCTACCCCGGCGCTCCGACATCGACCAGGATCCACCGGATTCTGACCGTCGTCGACCAAAGAACGGAAGACATGGTGCTCCACCACCAATAGATCGTGATTTGAAGGCCGCTCGTGATCGAAATGATGTCGCCCTCAACAACGAATCGAATCAAGCACAATCATCCGAGCCCACCGACGAGACCACGACATCGCCTTCGACACTAACATCAGGAGCGTCAGCTCCTTTTCCCACATCCGTCCCAGAATGAGGCATATCAAGAACTGGTATCCACACAATCAGAAGTTCCTCGATACCCAGCCGTCCGTGCGTCGAGGTTTCTTCGCCCACAGCGCCCAGCAACACGGCTGCAGGCCTCTCACCCGACCGCTCCAATCCCGTCATCTCCTCGAGAAAGCGAGCAGCCATACCGAACAGAGCCGTCTACGGTCCCTTTGATATACATCACAGCCAATTCAATTCCCGGCATCACAAGGTCCGTGATCGACCGACGCGTCGATTCTTCACCCGAACGCCATTGGCAAGCGCCCGGACGCTTCGAGTCGGCTGTTCACGTTCTGGAGTTCAGGCGCCCCCCCTTTTTTTTGGCCAGGCGACTTGCCCGCTGCGCTTATATGCTTTTTTTCCCCTTAACCCAGTCGGAGGGGCACAGACTTATCACGGGATCTTGGATAGAAGTCTGCACGTGCAGAAAATCCCATGGCTCTGGCAGAGGCGAGGGTATATTTATGTTTGACATCAACGCGTTCCTCAGCCGAGTGTTTCTCATTTCCGCTAGGGCGCCACCGTCAGCATGGGACGCAGGCACGCGCTCATGTCCGGTCTTTTGCTACCAGCCCAGATTGAGAGCAGACACGGCCTCCAATTTCGAAGACTTAGGGACGAGGAGTGAGACGCGGGTTGCGATGATGTAAAAATTATTTCGATCTACTCATTCAACACACGGTAGTCCTATCGCGCAATAGCAGTAGCAAACTCGATAACCTCCCACCCCGTCTCCACAGGTTCCCGGTGTAAAGATCCCTCCCCGGCGAGGAAATGCAGACTCCACCGCACTCCGGCTCTTTAACACACCACACATCTCACTCCCAAAACGGTCCACCCCCCCTCGTGTCCTCAGCCCAGCGCCGGAAAGAGAGAGAGAGAGAGGGAGAGAGCGGCCTCTGACAAGACCTGACCCGCACGCACCGGCACGTGTCGCAGTCCGGCATCATCGTCGAGGAGTCGCGGGTGACGGAACCATCCCCAAGCCACTCACTCACTCACTCACTCACTCACTCACCCACGCACTCACTCACCCACTCACTCACTCACACGTGGCGAAAACGTAACGATCCGATCCGATCAGTCAAGTATAGATAAATAGATAGATAGATAGATAGATAGATAAATAGATAGATAGACAGATAGATAGATAGATAGCTAGACAGAAAGACAGCTAGCTAGCCAGCTACCTAAAAACCCTCCCAACCCAAACGAACCGTGAAAAAACCACCTACCCCCTCTGTCCCGCTGACCCCCGCCGTCCAAACCACAAACCACAAACACAAACCACAAACCACAAACACAATGTGGGCACCGGACATGAATTCCAGTCAGGGATGACTTTTTGCCGGTACAGGTAGCTTCCCGAGTGGCAATTACATAGCACCATCCTAGTTCCAGGGCCAGGGCCAGCAAACGTTCGGCGAGGCCCTCCGCCCGAGGAGGAGAAGCCCCATCCACGTGTCTAGCGGACCACTCAGTACATAACATATGATATCATACAGTATCGGCGAATGTTGAGATTTGCTGCAGCACCTGTGTTGTAGCTACCCCTCATGGTGGCAATCAGGTGGAAAATTAGCATGGGCTTCACATGGTATATAAGTAGCCTACATACCATTCCATAGTTAATCAATCAATCCTTCATATCCATTTCCAGCAACAAATCAATTGCGTCAGGGCCGTCGGCGCAAGACCGCAAGTACCCGCTCCGCCGGTGTTCAAGCCGGGGGTGAAGGGAAGTGGACACCTGCGCTTTTGTCTGCCTCGTCGTTCCGGATCTGTGATCATGGATCCAGGTCCTACGAGACATGTATTCGTAGCCTTTCCGTCAGAAATTGCGTCGACGACTATGGGGATTAATAACTGTTTAAAGGGCATGCATCACGACCAGAGTCACACTGCCTTTAGAGCTACTGAGACTACGCGAACTGCAAGCTCCGACCGGCAGATTGCACGCAATTGATTGTACCTATCTCAGGCTTATGGTATACAACTCCTCATTGAGGCCAGCCTCCCCTACGTAACTAAAAGTTGAAGCCTAGAGTCTGCCAGCAGTAAAGCATTAACCGTCTCCTTGATAAGCATCGCCAGATTCATCAGAGCTCAAGTGTTCGCTTGGTCGTGATCTATCTCGTTCCATCATGACATTGTTAGAAGTGAAAGAGGGCGCCAAACATTCACACTGAAGAAATCCATATCCCCAGAATATTTCCAGAATATTGACCGCTACCTTTGAGGTATGTAGGTACCGCATGCAGGCCATAAGGATATAGGACGCCGTTAAAGTAGCTCAAACAAAGTCGACCTCAGCGGTGACGATCTGGTACTCGCCAGTAAGCGTCGAGGGATCCAGACCAGTGGGAGAAGTCCAGCTTAGCAGCATCTTCGTGCCACCATTGATGATGTCGTTGGACCCGTAGTAACCCAGGTGAGTTCCGCCAGAATAGATGTACTTCCCGCTCAGACCAGGATTTGCTTTGAAAAGAAGCTCCTGCTCTGACCAATTGTACTTGAGGATGTTCTCAGCGTAATCGGAGGATGAGTCTCCTCCGGGCGCAAATGGCGGAAGTATGCCTTGGTCTGCAAGAAGGTAGCGGTAGTAGAAGGTGCTGTCGGCGTAGGCAGTCATGTACACGATGATGAACGTCAAATGCCGGGGTGAATAGAAGACATCGATGTCCATGAAAGCGCCTTCGATGAAGTAGGCCGTAGATGATGAAGAAGGCATATCACCGCTCCAAGAGCTACCATCCCAATATTCGAACTTTTTTCCAGGTCAGCATGTTACCTGGATAGTCAGCATCGAGAGAACCTACCGAGTCACGATCACCCACGGTGGCAGCCGATGTTCGCGCCACGAGAAGGCCACCAGCAACGTTGCCAAAGAGATAGACGTTTCCATCGTCCCCTCCAACACCAGAAGCACCCCAAGAGCGGAGACCTCCCGCACAGCCCCACTCTACCTCATCTTGATCAAAAATCTTGTTCACGGTACGCTCGGCAATTGGACCACCCTTCCCGCCGGCGGTGATTGTCAGGAGTGTTGAACCAGTGTATGTGAATACTGCAGCTTTAGTGGCCATGTTGACGTTGTCGTAAACGATTGGCGCATAAATAATGGCTGTGGTTGCATCAAGAGGAATGATAGATGATTCAGGCCAGATTGCATATCGCTGACCGTTGCCTTGCAAGGCTTCGTTGTACGCTAGTTCACCTGTTGTCAAAGGTGCAAAGCCGCGCATCCGGCCAACGTTGTCACTCCATTCTCCAATGCCGTCCTGTAACTCTAGGGCCTTCCCACTTAAGCCATTCATGCCAACGTCAATGGCCACAGAGCTCGACACAAACCCAAGGAAATTGCCATCTATTGTGGAGGTGGGAGGCGAGTATGAGCCTGTATCGCAGAAGACGAACAGGTGCTCACCATTGAGCATACCTCCTTTACCGCCGTCTCGAGATAGATGAGGGGTATCAGTCAAGGGACTGAGATGGGACTGTGTTGAGAGGTTAACTTCGAGAACGCCAGTTTCTGGCGACATGGGGTAGCCGGTGGAAAGATCGCTGTTGACTCCAATGGTGAGTAGGGTCTTAGCAAGCGCTATGCCTGCAGGAGCTTCGATGTCAAGGTACTGCGATGAGGGCACGTTTTGACTCGGACCTTGTAAGTGGGATCCTGCAACCTTGGGCGGCATGATAGAGTCACCCGAGGCGTATGTGACCCCGGGGCTAGAAATACTTGATGCTGAAGTCGTGGCAGCTGCGGATGATGAAGAAGGGGTATCCGTTGAAGTTGCGCTGGTTATAGCTGAGGATGAAGCGTAACCTATGCGGACTGCACCCTGGATCCTCAGGGTTGATGGGGTCGGGTTGTCGATCGAAGACTTCAAGTAGCAATCATTGGCACCTTCATCTCGGCTGGCAATGAACAACGCGGCCACGCATTGGACGTGATGAGCATTGTAATTGTATGCATCGCACTTCTGAACACAACCGTCAAAGCTATCGACCAGCTGGAAAGGGTAATCATCGTCTGGAAAATCGGTGTTGCAGATGATTTGGTAGACTATCCCAGCGTCCGATGTGTAGGTTGTACCGTTGTCAGCTGGGCATACTGAGATACCTGTGGCACTTGGAGCTACTGACGACGCGGTAGGGGTTGGATTCGAGAAGCCTCCAAGGACGAAGGATTGATAGCCGTCTTCCTGCCTAGGAGCAATAACTTCGTGGTCTGGATGAGGTCTAGAGGCGTCGAAGGCTGAGAGGGAGTGGCCTTCATCTTCCTTGTCTGAAGCGTTCTTCAAGTCACCTTGTACTTCGAGACCAGCTTTCCAGAGAGTGATCCCGGCAGGTTCAGCGTCTGTAAAAGTAAACCAGTCAGCTTTGCACTCAGCGCTAGGTTAGCCAGTACGTACCATTTGTCTTTACCAATATATTGCCTGTAGAAGATGGGCCCAGCTCGGTGGTTGGAGCTGCTTCGTGTTTGCCGAAAGTTTGCGAGGTATGATAGCGGTTTCGACGACGGGTGGGAAGACTAGCCAACTTGCCATCTTGGACTTCTAGAGCTTGGAGCTGTAACTGCGGGACGGGTGTTGGATATGTGAAATGATTCGAATGATGAGTTGCATTGATAGGACCACAGTCCCCGCCAACGCAATGAGCAACGCCAGTAGCCGTAGGAAGTACGGCAACGGAGTCTGGAGGGCA